CGTCGTAGTAGTAGTAGTGTGTGTTGTTGTGTGTGTGTGTGTGTGTGTGTGTGTGTGTGTGTGTGTGTGTGTGTGTGTGTGTGCGCGTGTATGTGTGCTGGAGGGAGTGTTTGCGTGCGTTCGTGCGTACGTCCGTGCTAGCCCGACTATGTGCGTGTATGTGTGGGCGCGTATGGGAGTGCAATAAGTGCACGTGCGCGCGCGTGTGAGTGCGCTCATCTTAATGTCTACTTACTAGCACGGCAAGGCGCAACCACAATTAGCTGCGGATGTGTTGCGGGCTATCTTTTCCGCGCATATAATGTCGTCTGTAAACAAAGTTGAAAAGCAATCAAAATTGTGTGAAACATCTTATCAATATATAAAAATTAAATTTTCTATTGGAAGGACATACGGAGGCGGAAACGTACGTTCTCTATAAGGCGACGCCATTTCTACTGCTGGGTTGCTAACAAATGATAAGGGCGGATTGTGTTTTCTAAACGCTCATGAAATAAAATCTAATCAAGCTCTCTTTCGATTTTGGATTAATATAGCGTATCAAAGTGGACATCATGCGACATACCATGTAGTGAAGAATGACATTCTACCTTAAGCAATCTGGCATTTTGAGGTGTAGTCGGGTTGCGCGTGCGCCTTTTTTTCCCCTATGGATGCGTTAAGGCTGTTAAGCTGAGATTCTATAGCCCGCTTTGTATAACAGCTCGTTGAGAAATCCCAAAATCTACCACTGTCCTTCCTCTTAACAAGCCTAATTGATATACCCTCAACGAGGTAGAGCTACCAAGAACCACAGGTTGGCGCTTCTCAAAATATCATATACGCAACAATCACGCTACACTCATCATTCCGCGCTTATAAAGCCAATTACTGTCTACAGCGACGACATTAGTGATTACATGGGAAAATTGACTCAAAGGGATTAGGTGCAATTATTCAGTATTCACGTGTATATCATTATTAGTCTATGATACAGTCGCGCCGCGAGATGCCTTCACTGTCCTGACTAACGTGGCTTCTATCCGTGCTGACGATCGTACTAGTTGGAGTGAGTTCTACCTGTAGGTCACGTTTAGAACGGATAATCGAGACTCAATTACATTTGGAATGTGATGCTTACCGAGTTCGCTGCAGATTTTCAGTTCCAGCTTATATACTTCTTCGAATGCGTGCTCGTGGTGAACACAGAAACAATTGTCAAGCATCGCCCAGACGGTGCAGTTTGCGACACAAGCCTATAATGTAGAAGCGCGAACGCTCGCTGCTAATAATTGAAGTCATGTACGTGCGTATGTCCATGCGTTGAATGGTAAACAACAAATTTAGCCATGGCGAATAAAATAACTTGATAAATGCGAAGAGAAATTACATTCGCTAAAAAGATTATCCAAATGTAAAATTATCCGTTGTATTCTTTTTGCTCACTCCTGTCATATATATTAATGGTAGAATATGAAAATGTCGGACCGATACGAATAACATCATAAGTAGATAATAGGGAATTATCTACTTCTGATAACATGCAGGTAATACAATGAAAGCAGCTGTGAAGTAGTACAAATAGATGTGCGAATTTGCACGGCAGTTATAGGTTGTTATACCTTAATATTGTATGTGTTGTTGGGAAATATGTTTCGATCCTTGCCTTCGAAATTTTTCGAGCGGCACTTTGTGATATAGGGATCCGGCAATCTATGATTCATTGTCTATAGTAAAATAGATGTTAGTGTAACCATAGGTTAACATTCATGCACCCGGCAGATAGATGCGATATGATATGACTACTAGGCACTTAGGATATGACTACTAGGCACTTGAAAAAAAAACCCTAACCCTAACCCTAACCCTAACCCTAACCCCCTCCAAAAAAAAAGAGGATCACAACACGACAACTCCACGCACACACCAAAAAGAGAAACGCCACACTGGTGCTGCATGACCAGGATTCCCAAAAAAGAGAAACGCCACAATATCATATCGCATCTTTCTGCCAACACCAACATTCATTGCATCGTTGCAGGTCGTAAACCTTTACACTTACAAATTCGTAAAATGGTGGCAATGTTGGTGACTCATTCACCACCTTCTAATTTGCATCGGTCGGTCCATTTTGCAGAGATAAGCATATACAATAACTAATATGCTAACAGTTAATCATTAAAAGTAGTAAGTTATATCATTAATAAAAGTTAGAATATTGTATAATAAAAGTTAAAAGTATAATAGTTATCTCATTTAGCGTTCCCTTCGGGCAATTTTAAATTGTTATCACAACGCTTGAACATATGAATGTATATGATATATGCAGAACACGTATAAAAGGATATACCAGCATTCGAAATACATAGAGCTTTTTCAATATTGAATAGTGATATGAATGAGCCGCAAAACGTGCGCAGGCATTCGATGTATAACTGCTCGAACAATAGGTCAACGCAGGAATAGGCTGTTATATTTTAATCGAGATTAACTACGGATGTACGTAGTTGTGAGTGCAACATTAATATTCATTCGCATTAATATTAACTATTTAATCACAAATGCGGACCCGCTCTCGTGTGACTCACTAATTGAACGGCCAATGATGTCTCGAATCCCGGAGCGACGTCGAAGCCCTCCTCGATAGGAAACGGACTCTGGCCGGGTTGATGCAGCACGATTCGCGCCCCAGCCGACTGCGTGTAAGCGGTGCCGTAGTCGTCCTGATTCACGAAGAGCGTCAGAGTCAGACCTGCGGGTCAACGCTACCAGCAATCAGCAACACGATCTACGATACTCGCGGTGCTAGATAGAGAGAGAAAGAGGACGGGGGAGGCGAGAGCCGAAGGCAGAGGCGTGATTAATTGCGCTGGTAGCGCACTACTTCTTTAGATCATCGAGCTGGGAACGGCTTAGTAAATGTGTTTAATGACTCTGCGGCCAAGGCGTATAGTGGCATGCGAAAAAAATGACGTTCATATAACGGCGGGAGGAAGATAGATGGTGATCGAGTACGTTTAGAACTTCAAGTTAAAAAGTACATCAGAAGACGACACATTTCAATACGCCGCCAGGGGACAAAAATTGTTAAGCTGTAGGTAAATAGCACAATCGTGGCCTGCAAAATTAAATTTTAATTACGCTTCATTAACCTGACGCAAAATATGTGATGGAATAACATTCAGGCAGCACAATTTCACTTTAACTTGCTACGAGCCGCTAGGAGAGAATGAGGATATGAATGTACTTCAACAGCTTTGTCAGCAGATTGGAAACAGCTAGTACGGGGCGCCATGCAGGACAGGCATTTTTGTACCTATAAACTTGACAAAAATGAGTTTTGTGGGACAAAACTCAATTTTGTGAACACAAAACTCAATTCTGTCAATCCTGTCCCACAAAAGTCAATTCTGTCAATCCTGTCCCACAAAACTCAATTTTGTGAACACAAAACTCAATTCTGTCAATCCTGTCCCACAAAACTCAATTTTGTAAACACAAAACTCAATTCTGTCAATCCTGTTCCACAAAACTCGATTTTGTTGCCCAAATATGGCACACGCATGTAAGAAGGGCTACCATTGGTCAGAAACTGACCTGAAGAAATGTGTCACGGTCGCCATCTTGTTTAGTGACCCATTTCTCCAGCCCAGTTTCTGACCAATGGTAGCCCTTCTTACATGTGTGTGCCATATTTGGGCAACAAAATCGAGTTTTGTGGAACAGGATTGACAGAATTGAGTTTTGTGTTTACAAAATTGAGTTTTGTGGGACAGGATTGACAGAATTGAGTTTTGTGTTCACAAAATTGAGTTTTGTGGGACATGATTGACAGAATTGAGTTTTGTGTTAAAAAATGTACATTTGTGAGAACAGAATTGAGTTTTGTGCACAAAAGTGAGTTTTGTAAGACAGAATTGAGCCCTGTCCTGCATGGCGCTTCCCGGTAGCTAGTCGTGTTTACTTTGAGGTGGCACAAATTGTAAACAACAGTGAATTGCCACAAATAGAAATAGGCTATATAGCGGAAGCAGCCTTTCTAATGGCAACTTGCATTACGCGTACGCAGCCAAAACAGTACGTGATTGGAAAGGAATGAAAGTTGGTAATTTATTGAGGGACATTTGAAAGTAAAAGTCCACAGGAGAGATTTCTGTGAGATGAACTATATTATTTCCTTTGTAGACAGTACAGCGTACGACGATGAAGAACATAATACAACCGAGCTGCGATGGTCATATAAACTCGTATGATTATCCGACAGTATAGTATGGGAGTGCGTGCGTTATGCGCGCATACACACACACACACACACACACCCACACACAGTGCACACACACACACAACACACACACACACACACACAATCGCGCGCGCACTCACGACTGCACGCACGGGCACACACACAACAAACATATATAATCTATAAATAGTATATATATATAATATATACATATAATAAATTGCTATATAATACTAGTAAATCTTAACCTGGCAGCCGTGCTCCTGTTTTACCTAAATCGTTATGGCTGGTTTATACGAAGCCATAATTAATAGGTTGTAACAGTTTCGCCTATCCTTCCGGAAGTCAGAATGAAATCTCTGAATCACAGTAATAAACTGTCACGAATTTGGCAATCTGGTCCAAACTCAATGATCTGATCAAGTTGAACTAACGCCAGACGTACCACCAACACTATGATAAACTGTAAGCCTGTAGGTGATATGAAATCTACAAGCTGATTATAACGTATGTAATTAGTATAATTTGCGCATTTAATAGGTCGCTAAATAACATACTTAAACAAAGCACATTACTTGATTTGAACCACCATATTTCAAATGTATCCCGAACGATGTATGAGAATAACGGGACAGATCCAAAAGAAAATAACTCCAACTGACAGTAGATAGACACATCGGAACCAATAATAACGCAGCTCCGCTAGTTAATTAGCTTAAAGATAGTGGATGACAACGCTCGCGCTAATCTGACAACCGGAATACAAAGCGCTCGTTAACGTACATTCGCTTTTATTCAGAAACGATATTGCTTAATTTTAATGTAACATTTCTACTTCTTCAAGGTCGGCATTTTCGTCATTGAACGCGCATTCAATGGTGAAGTCGCCGATCGCTGTGGCCGCAATAGTCCTTCTCCCTTAAGTGTGGGCAATTGCTCGTCCGAGCGAGATATACTCCGACAATCGCTTAACTCATCGAGAAAGTCCGAATTCTATTTGAATTAACAAAATTTAATAGTACCATTACACCAGTTATCCATTCCGTACTTACACGGTGAATATGGACACTGATTATTTTCGTATTTGATAAAGTGCAAATAATTAAAAAAAGGGAATGAAAGTGAAAATATTTAACCGCGCACGAAACTAAATACAGCAAACAACGAAACTTAAATTCAGTTGGATTGCTATATATATATATATATATATTATATATATTACATACATAGTGATGTGTTCGCGTGGTGCGATGGCGTGCGTGCGGGTGGACCCATGCTTCCTGATTGAGCCGCATTAACGTTGACTGCGTTTCACAATGTTCGTATGTCGTAAGATCTACACGTGATAAAAATGAATAAAGAAATAAACAATTATAATCTCTCGAATGCTAGAGATTAACCACTTTTTGATGTGAATTACACTTCGCCACAGTAATATATAAAGTATAACATACTTCTCAAATGAGGAGGTTCTCCGTCGTCGTCAATAAATAGGTTAGTCGTTACATTGCTCCAGTCATTAATCGGTTTCATGCTGGCAAGTAATGATCAGCTTCGTCGAGAACAGCTTGCGAGTGATGGATGTCTTGTTGCAGAATCGATCACGCTGGAAACCTCGATGTAAAAGAATTTTTTTTTTTTTTAACATACTCCCACATCTATAAGTGTATTTTCGTGGATATCGTAAATTAACTGGCTCCGAGTATTCTGATACGTTGTGGAAAATCGAGTAGCTTAATCCCAACACCGAAGACGAATCCCCACGAGACAGCGCGCTTGTCGATCTGATAACGTGAGAATAAACGCGCGCGCAGACTCCGTGGAGGCCGAAGTAATTGCTGGCAAAAGTTTGTGAATGTGCGAGACCACAAGCAATGTGCTTTATCGCTCTACGTCCGTTACTTTGTCTTGCAACCGAGGCGCTAGGTTTGTCTCTGTTAATTAGTTACTCGGGCACCAGCCGTCTCCCTCACTCCCGACTCTTGTTTTTACGGAGCGACGTCTATTTTTACTCGTCTGCTCACGTTATTGTCCGCCAATGTGCTATTACTCCGTATCTGCGTGACCTTGCGTTTCAAACTTTTATGTCACACGTACCCCTCCGTGTTACTCCATTTACGCGACTTTTTAACTGAAGCTAGAGTATTTGCGAGTATTAAACTTATATGTGAAGGTCTCTCGCACTTTCTCATCTGCTGTCCGATCGATTCTGTTGGGTTCTCGCTGTGTGCTACAAATTCCGTGATGAACTCAACAAGCGGTGTCGTAATTACAGGCGTTCGGTGCACTACTGATAGGATACGACCCACGATATGCAACTAAAAATGGAAATATTATGATAGCCATCAGTTAGCGGCGGGGATGATGATGCGTCCGTAATCGTCCACAATTAATCAATGTATTATGAGGTTAGCCCTCGACGTGCATGCTTGATGTGGCCCTCTGTCGGCCACAACAGCGGTTGTGATGGCAAGCGGTTGCTTAGTAGCAATCTAATATATAAACAACGCAGCGATGATTAGAACGAGCTAACATATATTGCCTAACAAACCCTTTTCGAGATAATGCAGAACGGGATGGGTTTAGGCTCTAATAGTCATGTATCTTATGTTTATATTTGACATGCGCATGCAGACGAACTACAGTCTCACGCTATGGTTTACGTAATTGGTAGGTCCGCTACTTTTTCAATGGTACGAGAGACAAAGAGGCGTCCAACACGAAAGAGAATCCATACACAGTACGCACTCAACTGCACGCGCCGCGATACAGCCACGCACATAATTAAATCTAGTCGTGTAAAATCATTGACCTCAGGCATGGCTGGACAAACTATTGATCACAAAGTAGCAGAGAGACAAACGGTATGCTCGTATAACATACAGAGATACGTAAACGGTTAACGCTGATAATTTGTGTCGTGATTATTCCCTTATTACCAGTGTCAGTGGGTAATGCGTGGAGCACATTGTTATACTCAGCTATTTAGCATAACGAGTATTTAGTCATATGAGAATGAAATAATAAAAGAAAAGAAAAATAAAGAAATGGCAAAAAAAAAAAGAAGAATTTATTAAATACTTTATCATTAGCGATTTCAGCACAGAATACGGACATAATATCAATATATAATTTTACTTTCAGCGTAATTAAACATTCACGGTCTTGTTTCATGTATATTTTATCAAGCAATAAAAACTTAAAATCATAAACGCTATTACCAGGGGATTTGCATAATTATTAACGGCGCATCAGTCATAAATTAGTATGGCCGCAATGAGATTATCGTGAACAACACACACCCACACACACCACACACACACACACACACACCCCCAGCTACACACACACGACATCCACCACCGCACACATCACAACACACGTCGACGGACCAGGCGCCAAGTACCGGCGGCCACGCTCCGCCCGTCGGCGCGCCACACGACACACACACACACACACACACACACAACACACACAAGCTACACACACACAGGGTCACACGCAAACAA